TTTGAAGATTTCTAAAAGTGAATTAGAATTTAGAAATCATGAAAATATGCAAAATTATTTAGAAAATAGCGAAGAAAATTTAGTATCTATTGAATCAGTACAAAATTATTTTTGGAGATTCAAGTAAGTATAAATTTTTATGTAATTATATACAAATTTTCACAAATTTTCACAAATTTTTGTTATTATTCAATTTTTAATTTATTTGAAAGTTTTTGCAAATTTTTGTAATTTTATATGTTTTATATAAGAATTTTATATTTTAACACATATGCGCTATAGCGCCCCTTATTATATATACTGTATAAATTATACAGTAATATGCATATACTGTATATATTATACAGTAATATGCAATATGTATTTATTGTTAGGTTTTGAAAGTCTGATCATAGATATAAATAAAAAAAACAACAATTCTGAACCTTACCTCTTAACATCGTTGGTCGCTTATTGTTGCACGATAAAGCTGTAAATATCATACCACAGTTAATTTTCTTTTATCATTGCATTTTTTATGGCTCTAACTTCTTTTTGTTTTGCATATTACTAGGTCCTTTTAGGATTTTTTTCATGCTGTTAGTTGCTTATTGTTTCTATATTCAAGCATTAAATATTGCCATCAAATTTTTTGTTTCAATGTAATTTCTTCCTCTGTCTCTAGGTTTTATACATCGTCTTTTTACACTGCCGCAGTCAATTTTCTTATATTAGTACTCTTTTTTTATATCTCTAACTTCTTTTTTTAGTTTTGCATATTACCAGGTCATTTTTTGCATATCACTAGGATTTTTTCGTGCTGTTAGTCGCTTATTGTTCATATTCAAGCAGTAAAACTATTGCTATCAAATTTTTACATCTATACATGATTTTTTCTTCCGTCTCCAGATTTTTATACATTGTATAGTTTTTTTAATATCTCTAGGCCTTTTTTTTACTTTACTAAGCCTTCTTTTTTTGCGTTACTAAGTCTTGCATCACTGTCTTTATCTGTGTTGCTTTTTTTTGCGTTGTTAGTTTTTTTTTCGTGTTGCCGGTTTTTTTGTATCATTGGTTTTTGTGTCACTAGTTGTGTTAGTGTTGTGTTGTTAGATCTTTTTCATGTTCAGGTATTTTCTTTGTTTATTGTTAGTTATTTGATATTACCTGAATGTTTTCTTACACATTATGTTTAGTTTTAGGATCTTGTTATGGCCGAAATAGTTAAAGTCAACATAGATAATATCAATTATACTAGTGAAACCGATGTTAATAATATTGAATATGCTAACGAAGCCAAAGATACAAGCTTTATAACAGAAGTAGTTAATATCAATCATGATGAACTCATTAATAAAGCCGAAGATACTAATTTATCAATACCTTCCAATGAAGTTGCAAGTTCTAAATTATTCACTAATAAGGTTTTCCCTACTTGGGATTCTTGTAATTTGTTCATTAGCGAGTGGGCTAAAAAAAAAAGATTTTATACGAAAAAAGATCGTGTATACCATGAAGGTGAAGTAATAAGAAAGCGTACATATCTTTGTAATCATGCTTGCTTTTATTGTTCTAACTCAAAAAAAGATACCACTTCAAAAAAAATTAATTGTAAATTCCTTGTTAATGCCTCATGCCCGAAGTTTAATAATCCTGAATCTCAAATTTGAATCAATAAGATTGTTAATAGTCATAATTACCTTTTAAGTGTTGAACAAATTAATTTTGAAGAAAATAAAAAGTTTTTACCTGAAATGTTGAAAGATATAGAATTTTTAACTTCCCATTATAAATTCAGGGCAACAGTACAGTGAAAGTTCTTAGAAGAAAAGTATTCTGCACAACTGATTCACTCCAAGAATCTATATACAGCAATTCAAAAGTTTCGACCAACTTCTAAATTATTATCAAACGATGCAGCTTTGATGTCTAGTTGGTTAGACAACCAAAAAGAAATCGATTCTCAATAGGTAGTTGTTAAAGGATGGGATGAGGATAATACTCTTACTAAGCTTCTTTGGATAACACCTGAACAGGTTGAAAATTGGATACAATTTTTGGACTGTGTCTTAAATGATGTCACAAACAAAACTAATTGTTATGGCATGCCTTTATCTATGTTTGTGGAATTTAATCGACACCGGCACAATATCATTCTTGCACAAGCTTTATTATCAGATGAAAGTACAGAATCACACACCTGGATGTTTGAAGAGATATTAAAAGTAACTAAAAAGCAGCTAGTAGTCATAATGACCAATGCTGACCCTGCGGTAGATCTAGCTGTTCGCAATATATTTTCACAAAGCTATCCAATTCATTGTGCTTTCCATTTGACACAGAATATCAATAAACATTTAAGGAATTCTCTCAGAAGTGATTATGGCAAATTTCTTGAAACATTTTTTTTATGTCGAAATAGTCTTGCAAAAGAAATGTTTGAAAAAAGATTTGAAGATATCTGGCAAAATTTCCCTAGTGCTAACTTATATATAGAAGTATTATATCGTAATAAAACTTATTGGGCCCATTGTTTTATACGATTTAAATTTACTGGTAGTATGATATTAATTTTCCAGATAGAATCTGTTAATGGGTGTCTAAAACGGTTACTACATAATTCAAATATTTCTTTATGTGAATTAATAAGTGAAGTTTATGCTTTTGGATATGCAAGACCAAAAAGAAGAGTACAATTTTTGGAAACTTGCAATCCCTTGTATAAAAAGTCAAAATAAAACAAATTTCCTGTTTAAAAAAATTGATAAATGCTTGGAAAGAATTCTTACTTCTATTATATTACAAAAACATTGAGACGAAATAAACCAATCAGTTTACTATGAGGCTGATAAATTTCTGAATAATGATATAGAAGTAAGTTTTTATCTGCTTGGTTATTGTCTTGTTTAATAATTTAATACGGTTAACTTTATTTAATTGTAGAGGCACTGTCATGATGAACAAGAAATCGAGATACATGATGCATCATTAGTAGAAATACAACAAATCTTATTAAAAGAACTCATTTACTTAGTAGAAGAAATAAATAATATAACTGAAGTATGGTCTGTAAAAGTTGGTAATTCAACTACTACGAAACATTACATATGATTATTAAAAGACCAGTCTCATATTTGTTTGTGCCTAATGATAATTCAATGAGACATTGTCTGTAGGCATTATTTTAAGATAATGCTTATGACTAACAATGCCAAATTTCATATCCAGCTTATTCCGTCACGTTGGTACAATGATAATATTGATATTTCTAAAGAGTCTTTTTTGAATATGAATAAGTTTTATGAAGAAAAATTAATAGAAGAAACGGTTTTTCTTACAGCTTATCTGTGTGTATTTAATCAGGATAATCAGAATTTCCTTGAAGAGAGTCTTAGTTTAATTTAGCAAAGGAAGGTTTATGGAGAGTTATATAGTATTTACAAAAAAGCACTCAATAAAGTTCTAAAAAGCCAAACAAAATCTCAACAACTTATTGATCTCTTATAAGAATTTACAGAAAAAATTAAATTATCTGATAACTCATCTGAAGACTCATCCGAAGGCTTATCTGAAGACTCATCCAAAGATGAAGTTGATAGTGACAAAGAAAATCAAGTGTTCATACTGCTGAATCCTAAAAAAAGGCGCGGAAAAGGTCGACCACCAGGCACTAAGCGGCTTAAATCAGCATGTAAATCAAAAAAAGGCAGCTAAGACATTGTAAAAAATGTGGCAAAGTTGGTCATTACCAAAAAAGCTGTAAACATAATTTATACATATGTACGTACATACATATTGAGATACAGTATACTTAGTTCTATATACTCTGTATGTATAGATTAATAGTCCATATTATTCAAAAAAGTTAATTGCAAAATTAAGATCGGTTAAATCATAGTCTAAGTATTACCATTATTATAGCAATTCTGTTACTTAAAATTTAGTAATGTAGCTATTCTCGTGTCTATAAGTGCACAAATTGTTAGTTTATACGTAGAATTGCTTAGGTATAAGTTCCAATACAGCATTTTCAATATTAAAATCAAGTTTCTGATTCTATGTAATATGCTATTAAACATATATATACTTACGTATGTATGGTACAGAAAACCTAAAAACTTCAATCGCTTTATATACTGTAGAATAAAAGTTAACTAACTTACTGAAAATAAACTAAATTTGTTATCTCAATAGCATGCTATCGTGTACATATTGTTCTTTGCTTATTGAGATCGATAATTTAAAAAATTTATTTTTCATACACTACTAGTTTATGCATTATCTCTGCATAGAATATTGAGATTTTTAAATTTCCTAAACTGTATGTATACTATGTAGAGTGTCTGAAATCTGCTTTTTTAAGCTATTAAACTACTTCTTTTTATCCGGCTACTTTTGCATTATCGGCTTAACCAATTATAATTAAGAAGATTGTCAATTGTTATTATTAATTACGTATTATTGTAATAACAATTCTGTTTTTCTCTACTTATTCGGCCTTTATTGAGCAGAATCTAAAGATATTTATTGTATAGGTTTTGTACAGGAAGTAAGTTAAATATTCTAGTATGTACGTATGTATATACGTACGTACCAATGTATCTATGTTAAAGATAATATGTATATATAGGGCTCATATACGGACATACATATTTACCAAATTGAGAAATAATAGCAAGTTTGTATTTTATATTATGTATACAAAGTATACAAACTCTGTTATATTCAAATTTGTATTTATATTATACAAATTTATTTGTATTACATAAATCTTTTTTTTTTTTTTTTTTTTTTATTATAAATTGCTTATATGCTATAAATCTTTATTAATTAATATAGAACTTATTACAATTAGATATTACAGTGACAGAGTTGTGCTATACTAATTACTTAATGACACCCTAGCAATTTAGTCGTACTTTTACTATTTTAGAATCTAACTAACGGCTATTACCCCATCAATTAACTTCTTAGTTGGTGTACAACCTACTTATTTCTATACAAGTTCTTCTATATTGTTATTGGTACCTTTGTCCACCTATCTGCTTCCTGCAGCAACTTTCTTTTTCTCCCAGTTTGGTTCATTCCAGCGGTTTTTCACTCTTATTGCTCCCAAATTGGTTTACATAGCCTTATATTCGATTTAGTACCACTCTAATTTGAGTACATATTGTGCTGCCACTATCGTGTTTGTATCTCAAGCCATCTTTTTTTGGGATGCTGCCATAACACGATCTGTATCTTAAACCACAACCTTTCCCAAATGGACACGGCCAGATTTATCAAAATTCCAGTTATTATTCTGCAGTGTACCACTTGCTTTTTATAGTGCTACCATAGTTGGTATGATTAACTTGCAGTATAGGTACTGAAGCTTCCCAATATAACTATATTATATGGGTGTACTACTGACAATCATTTTATTTCCAGCTTGGTAATGCAAGGAGGCCTGGAACCTTGACTTATAACGCACCGGCATTGCACTTATTACTGAAATTAGTAATGTACAACTCAATACCTAATGCAACTTCCAATCTTGTATAGCGCCAGAGGTGTTTCAAGCCTAGTTAGGCCAATCCTTTATCACAGATCATAACTATATTTACCATATTACCCGTTACTCCAGTTTTGGCACACTAGTATTACCCTCCCAATCAAGATCTCCAGACCACCCAGGGGTTGTTGGTACTATCCTGCCAAATGTGGATTTACATGCACAACCTATTTGCTCCAAAACCTTCTGCAATATACACATAACACCAACTCTCTATGGCTAGATCTCCTTCTGAGAATTCCTATTCTAGATTCATACTTCACTTGGGCTTTTCCACAGGGATCCATATTCGATTATTAGCTGCTAACATCATAAGGTTACAGAGTTTCTTTCACCTTCAGCCTAAATTGAACCGTGGACCTTAGCTTATACTGTGGGGGTTTGGCAGCTTAACCACTAAGCTATAGAGCCCAAACTCTTATCACATAAATCTAATTTTATATAATAAATCTAATTTTATATAATACATATTATATATATCATGTGATACGATCTACAATTTTATTGGTTACCTAATGGGTGCTATATCACATATACGCCAAATTATATAAACCTTTATATAAAATTCTAAATTTTTGCGATTTTATTCATTTATATATTATTTCAAATCTTTTGCTAATTTTTGCAAGTTTTTGAAATATTATATTTGTATAAAATTGTATATTTTGCAAACTTTTGCAAAAGTGCATAATTTTTTCATTATATATATATACATAATTCTAATTTTTTTACAAACGTTTTTGCAAATTTTTGTAAGTTTATACGTTTATATGTATAATTCTAAATAGTTTTGCAAATTTTTGTAAAATTTTTAATTTTTTATATTTATATATAAATTTTTTAATATTTGCAGAAATTTGTATTTTTATATATTTATATATAATTTCTAATTATTATTAAATTTTTTAATTTTAGTAATATTAATATT